GAGTTTTCATTGTGTATTTCACCCAGACCTCCTAACATGGACCGTGTCACACCACTGTTTTTTTACTTTTTTTTTTCCTGATATTTTACCTCCAAAAATTTTTTTTCAAGGAGTTCGCCGTGCAGTTCTTTTGCATGTCTCGATTTTTTTAGCCGACTAACCTCATATATTTGTATGATTTTAGTATGTGAATATTGCTATGGTCCTTGTTGACCTTTGATTCCAAAAACCATTTTTAAAAACAAACTCTCGATTTTATCGAGCCATTTTTAACCTTGTAAGTCGATTGCCTTGCGCATCGCCATCGACCTTGTCCGTATCGCTTCAAATGCATTTTGACAAACATTTTTCTTATAAAAAAACCTAAAATACAATAAATATATGGTTAGGGTTGTACACCATGGATTTTAAGGTGGTGGAGAAGGAATGAGATTGGAATCCTCCTACACTCATTCCGAATGTTTTGGATACAAGGCGCTCGACTTGACTATTCGAAACATTCATCTCTATCCAAAGTCCTTTTGTGTAATCCTAATCAAGAATCATTTCTCTTCAAAAAACCTAAAAATAACATCAACTCATCAAACTTCTTTTCGCCTTATGGCATCAATCAAAAACCCTTTTTCAAGGTATAAAATCAATCAACAAATAACTATTTCACAAGCCTCCGAACTACGGAGCTCTGATTCTTCACTTCTTTTAAGTGATGATACGTAGGCACAAGGACCACAATCCTTGGCGAGCATTAAAATATAAAACCAACCCCTCTTTCCTTAAGCAAGCAAACTTTTAAGTAAAAATACCCATTCACGCAAAATAACCTAGGAGGTTCCCATCGAGTACGATTGATGCGAGGAGGCGCTAATACCTTCCCCTCGCATAACCGACTCCCGAACCCCTAGACTTGGTTGCGATGACCATACTCTTTTCCCAAAGGTTTTATCGCTACTTCCCTTTCCCTCCTTGGGATAAATAAAATTCGGTGGCGACTCTATGTCATTTTTCGCGTATCGACACCAGCCGAAAATGGACAAGGGCATTTGACGGGGATCGATGTTGGGGTCACATGACTACCAACCTTGTCGAGTCAATGAATGATGTCTTTAAAGGCACACGTAATTTGCCCATTACAGCATTGGTAAGGGCAACATATTATAGACTGGGATCTTTATTTGGTGAATGGGGTTCAAAGTGGAGTGCTGTGTTGAATTCTGGCGAAACATTTACAGACAACTGCCTCAAGGTGATGAAAGAAGAAACAACAAAATTCAGCACACATCAAGTCAGAATTTTTGACTACGCTAACAATGTTTTCAGTGTGAAGGAGATAATGGACCATGGTGAGGGGAAGCCTATGGGACATTATAAGGTCGACCTCTTGAACGGGTGGTGTGACTGCGGAAAGTTTCAAGCATTTAGTGTCCCTTGCTCACATGTTATCGCCGCATGTTCAAATGTGTGCCACGACGCTTACGCTCTTTTGTCCGATGTTTATAGGGTTACAAACTTGTTTGGGGTTTACAGCACAAGCTTTCCAGTGCTGTCGTACGATGAATATTGGCCCGTTTATGAAGGATATCAAATTTTCCATAACCCAAGAATGCGGAGGAACAAGAAAGGTCGCCCAATGAGCACACGTATTACAACAGAAATGCATAACTTTGATAAGCTTGAGAGAAAATGTTCAATGTGTCGTCAAACAGACCACAATCGAACACGGTGTCCCAATGTGAGAACAAGTAATCGTTAGTGTTTTTATTAATCCTCATGTATTAAATAATATTAGCTAATGATATCAATTAATATAAATTATGTATTAAAAAATATAATTTGATATTATACATTAATTAATTATATTAATATTAACATTATTGATAATATAAATAAATATTAATATTAATAATATTAATAATATTAATATATATTGAAATATTAATAATAATATTAACATTATGTCTTAATAATATTAATATATTTTGAAATATTAATAATAATATTAGCATTATGTCTTAATAATATTAATATTAATAATATTATTAATACAAATATTAATAAATATTAATATTAATAATATTAATAATATAAATATAAATAAATATTAATATTATAAATATTAATATTTATTAATATTAATAATATTAATATAAATAAATATTAATATTTATTATATATATATATATATATTTATATATATATATATATATATATATATATATATATATATATATATATATATATATATATATATATATATATATATATATATATATATATATATATATATATATATTAATATAAATAAAACAGAAATAAAACGAAAAAGTAAAAAAAAAATGAGTTAGACTCTGCCGCCCTTCCAATGGGCGGCACTCTTTATATTTACACACTACCGTCCAATGAATGGACGGCAAGCTTAAGCAAATAATTCCAAATTTTTTAAAAGTGTGGTATTCTGGTGTATATATTCAAAAGTGTGGCATTTTAGATAATATGTTGTAAAAATATGTCAGGACAGGAAAAAATTCCGAATGTGCTTCTGACTTCTTAACAAATTTAATGATGTCACTCAATTCTATTATATTGTAGTATTAGTTAAACAATATTACTATAGCTGTAAACTGTTGTCTCAAATGACAGCATCCTACCAGGTACAGGAATTAATTAGGAACTTACTATAACAAATAAGAACTGTTAGTCCTTAGTAGAAGCCGATCAAATATATATATATTCGGAACATTTATTTCGTTAAAAAATATACGTAAAATGTATGATAAGTATTACATATTTCGTGTTGGAAAACAACATATTTTCTTATTTCATACACATTGGAAAATAATATAAATAAAAAATGTAATAGTAATTTATCTTTAAGTATGATAAATCTGCTCTTTTATTTGATTTCTTTTTTCAATGTCGTTTTCATTATTTTGATTTTTTTTCAAAGGTTTAGTATGTCTAATGTTTTTTTAATAAAAAAGGAATCAAGAGGAATTATGAAGATGAATATTAACTGGAAGGAGGATATAAAGAAGCAGAAGAGAGACGCGGTTGCTTAAAACAAGACATTGAAGTTAAGAACTTTAAGACAAACACTAAATTAGAGCTTTGATATGTAGCACTAATTAGTCACGTTGTAAATGTTTTTTTTTTTTTATTTCCTGTTGCATTTTGCTATCTCTAACATTCCCTTATGTCTAATGAATTAACTGGTTGTAGAGAGAGAAGAAATAAAATTCATGATTGAAAGTGGTAGCTCTGCAAAAGAGATTGTTTTTAGCCAATTCACATCATATTCTTAGATCTTATATACTACTATTTCTACAAGATAAATTAATTTTAAAGCTGTATTCTACTGATATATGTAAAATGCATAAGTATGATGGCAAATGCATCATAAACTATGATTCAAATGCATCATTAACAAGAGTGGTTTCTGACCCAAAAAGTTCATGAGACTTATATTATCCGTAATTATCCTTTGTCTTGGAATCCACCTTTGGAGGGATGGCTAAAATGCAACGTGGATACAACTTTTAACCAAGGTAGTACTAATAGAGGGAGGTGCGTCCGGGATAACCGTGAATCTTTTATTAGTGTAGGAGTGGTTTGAGATCATGACTCTTGGTCCGTGATTGAAGTTGAAGCTTTGACACTTAAGGAGGCAATCCTTGGATCGGTTGATTTGCAACTAGAAAATGTTATTTTGGAGAGTAACTCACAACAAGTCATCCATGCTGTTCATTCGACTCATGATGGTAGTTCCGAATTTTGCTTTATCATTTTTTCAATTAAATAGTTGTTACATAATTTTAATAACTTCGAGGTGAAATTTATTAAGCGCCAAACGAACTTGATTGGCCATTCTCTTACTAGAGCGGCTAATTCTCTTACTAGGACAACTAGAAAATATTTGTTAATGGTTAACTAGACATGATAATGCAACACACAATTAATATTTATACTCTATTACACAACTACTTTAAACACTTAAATTACAATGTTAATAATATTTACCATTTGCATTAAAAACAATAGAATAAAAGATATTTAATGATAGAGAGAGATATATTTAATAATAGTTAAAATTGTTTAGAGTGAACAAAATGTTTTTTATTAAATCTGAAAAGAATATAACGCCCCTTATTTATTTTTGCTACATTGTTATATTGAGGCTATTTATTGTTTAAATTATACTCATATTTTTTCATAATTGGGTTTACTTTCTAAAAATCATTTATTTTAGTTGTTTGCAATAAAGTACAATTCAAATTTCCACGCTTCAAAAGCTTATTAGCATTTAATACTGATCGAGTCATTTCATGCTATTTCATTATCAACTCTCATGCTCATTATTACAATTAAAATAAAAATTGAAACAAATATTTTACTATTTAACACAAATAGAGCTTGAAAACATTCAATGAGCTAATCTAATAAACGTATCACATGATATTAATAAAGACATGATTTTAGTAGAATCTTGTTTTGTGAGTTTTACCTACTAAAAACTGTCAAAGTTTATTTGATATTCTCAAGATCAAATTTTGGAGAGAGAAGTATGTTGTTTTCTTGTTTGAACGATCCTCTTTAACTCTTGGTGTTCATCTCTTTCCCTTAATTCTTTGCTTTCCGTGATTTATATTCTACAATTTAATTCTCATTGCTTAATACTCAAACATTTTCAAAAGGTCTTTTAACTCTGTTTTAAACCGTAAAATTTTTCAAAATTTTGTTTTTCGGGACCACGCAATTAACCCTCCACCCCCCACTTGTGTGGGAAGTCACTTGTCCAACAATTCTTTCTAATGCAAATCAATTACAAGAGAACCAAATCCACTTTAAACAATGTGATTTAGAAACACATAAAAAAATAACAAAATCTACTAGATGCTTTATTTTTATTTTTTCTGAGGAAAGTTCAAACTCGGAATTTCACTTGAAATATTCTCAAAATCAAATCATTATACTATTTATCAAAGATAATACTAGAGTAGATTTTATCATGGATAAATCTCAATGACAGACCTAAGCCCTAAGACTGGAGTTATTTTGTAGTCACTGAAACCAGCAGAGGAAAACAACTTGGCCCATTCTTTTTTTGTTCTCTCTTTACCAGAGAAAAACACCATCATGACCATATCAAATAAGAGTTGTGTTTCAATCGTTTCCTTCTCTTCTTCCATTACCATGTCGATGATAATCACCTTTCCCTCTTTATCATTCTTTACTATTGCATCCTTACAATTTTTTAATATCTTAACGCATTCTTCATCATTCCAATCATGCAATATCCACTACATTAATAAATATTAGAATCATTAAAAAGATGCAGAAAATCTTAAAAGGGAACACCTACTCCTTTATTGCAGACACTAGCGCATGACCATGGTTTTAAATTGCAGTTGCGGCTACAAATGTTATTGCAGCTGCTACAATACATATTGCGATCGTTACGGCATAAATTTAATTTTTATCAACATAAAATAATATATTTTAATATTTATATTAGGTTTCAGATGTTTTCCATTTCCACTTGAAATCTTTATATATATATATATATATATATATATATATATATATATATATATATATATATATATATATATATATATATATATATATATATATATATATATATATATATATATATATATATATATATATATATATATATATATATATATATATATATATATATATATATATCATTAACATTTCGCATCACTTTGAATCTCACTAGTTCTTTTAAAATCAATAATCTATGAAATAAATTGAAAGGAAGATAGAACAAGTAATTTTTTCAAACAATGTGTATGTTACAGGTTGATGCGCTCAGATGGGAGCAGATATGGTCGTTGCCATGTTATGATGCGGCTGTTATGGTATTATAATGTGGTTTTTAGTGTAATTTACAATCACACTACAATTGCGGCCTGGTGCAGATGTGACGCTATTGCAACAACAGTATTGCGGCCGCATCAAATGATGTGGTCCGCAATTTAAAACCATGACTAGTACGGGTGTTCACAGTTCAATTCAGTGAGAAAACTAAACCGAACCAAACCACAGTAAAAGTTTACTCGAACTGAACCAACTCGTTGCAATTTATCTAGAATCGAACTGAACCAAAATAATTGATTCGGGATACCATTTAGAAATTCTGAACCATACCAAACTGTTAGAAGACAATTTTTCCCAAACTGAACCATTTATTAAAAAATCGAACCATTAAACTATTTTCCAATTTTTTTTTTTAATTTAAACTTACTTTTAGTATTTTTCATTTTCAGTTTTTGTTCGGTTCCATTTCAGTTTCGGTTTGCTTCATTTATAGTTTTGATTCGGTTTTAGAACCGTTTTATGTATTATGGTTTGGTTCACTAGTTAAATATAACGGTTTTCAGTTATTTTAACTTCAGTTGGGTTCAGTTTGATAATTGGATTCAGTTCATGGTGTTCAAGGTGTTTTTGAACAGTCCTAATGACTAAGACCACAATAGTGTTTACTGATCAGAATTTAAAACCATGTATTTGAGTATCATATCATCACTAAAAGGCTATTTTATATTTTTTATATTGTGATATAATATTTTACCTTCAACAAAACAGCATTAGCTTGAGGAATTTTTTGAAACATATCTCCTCCAACATATTTTAGATTTTCACTTCCTTGCAAGCCATCAACAACATGTGGAAGATCAAATACAATACACTCCAATTGTGGGAATGATTTCGCAAGGGCTCTTCCTATGGTTCCTGTGCCTCCTCCAACATCAACCAATGACTCCAATCCACATAACACTTCCTTGCCATTCTCAATCAACAGATCGCTCACTAATCGAGAATCACATGCCATGGACTCATTGAATAAACCATTAATTATCGGTTCATGGGCGACATAATCCCAAAACTGCCTCCCATTTGTCATTTCAAATACTGAAGAATCCTCATTTCTGAACCATGTAGACATTTGATGCCATGGATTTGTCATAATCGGGCTGAGCATCATGTGGACAAATGGGGTCACATTCATTGGATTGTCCTTAAGTAATAATCTAGATGCATCCGTTAACATATATTCAGTTTCTAATTCATTCTCTGTAACATTTTGTTGAGCGAAAAAACCAGAATGAGTCATGATTCGCATCAAGCGATAAATGTAAGGTTTCTTTGAAGGATGGATTGGTAGTGAAGAAATGAGTTTTGAGAGTGGCATGGGTTTTCCATAGTTGTGTATGATATCTGGTATGCCTAAATCAACAACACATTTAAGTGAAATAGATTTGATGAAGTTGAAAACATAATTCGATATGTGGCTATAAGCATTAAGCAAGTTGGAAGAATTGTGAGATTCCATTATGTGTTAGCTGATATTTTAAGCATGGAACCTCTCTTTTTTCGGACCTCTATTTATAAGGCTAGTTGGTCTATAATCAACACTTAATTAGGTATAATATTTTCTGTACTGATTAACTTTTTATTAAATATGATCTGACATCATAACTCAACCCTTGTGTGAATTGATAAGTATTAATAAAATTGTTTTAAACCTATAAATTTAATTAAAAACACTTAGTCAATATCACTTGTAATAACTTCTATTTAACATAACTACCTAATTGAGTTTCATGTGTTCAGTTTGTTGGATTTCATGTGGTGGCTGAAAATTAGGTTGTTAAGGTGACTGAAAATGAAATTTACCAAATTGAGTTTCATGTGGTGGCTAAAAATTAGGTTGTTAAGGTGGCTGAAAATGAAATTTTCCAAATTGAGTTTCATGTGGACAGTTAGTGTAATTTCATCCTGTTTCGTTGTATATTAATTCATGTTTAAAAAAAAACTAATCTATAGTAGGTATAAAATCTAATGTTTTCTTTCCATTTAAGCAAGATTAAAAACAACTAAAAAAGAACATTAAAAAAGTTTTACTTCTTATCCATTTTTTAATACCACACCAAATTGGCAGGTCAAATTGAGAATCTCTGGTTTGACTGTTTTATTGAACCAGTGAAAATCGATCAGAACCGATAAAAACTGATAAAATCGATAAATTGGCGATTCTGATAAATCGACAGGTTAAATGTCTACTTTTCTCTCAAATAAAATGATGTCATTTTGATGATTTAAAAAATAAAATAAAATATAAAAATAAATAGATTTTTTTCAAAACTTATTTAAAACAAATTTTCTGAATTAAATTTATTACACAATCCTATTATTTTATTATTTAATTTAGGTTGCATTTAGATTTTGTTTAAAATTTATTTGAATTTGTATTATATATTATTTTGTTGTGTATGATGATTATGTTTAGAATTCAAACTTAAAGAATAAACTTGTGAAATTATGATATTTTAAAATTTTGTAAAAGTTGTGATTTTTATAAAAACAAAGTCATCTGATTTAATCGATTTAATAACTATATAATTTTTTATAGAGATCAATTTATTAAATCAAGTCATTCAATTTAATCTAATTTACTCATACGGTTCTTTCTGTGACCCAGATGTTCTACAAGTCTGATTTTCAAAACACTGCTTCTTATCCAAATAAGTTAAGTTAGAAAATCATATTATTATTTTATAGCATATTAACTACTCTTAACAATGTGTTGATGCCGTAAAAAATGATTTGGACTTAAAATCGTCACTTGAAAACTTTTTAATATGAATTTTGGGATATGAAAAAAAAAGTTATATCCTTTTATTTTACAAACTTTTTTGGATTCAGTTAACCTTTTATCATTTCAATGTTGTTTCTCGTCCTTCGAATTAGTCGTGGAGGCATTTCTGTTGGAGGAGTTTATCACTGTGAATGTTCAATGCTCCCTAGCTAAAAAACTCCCCCAATAATTTCATCCTAATAACAAGAACAAATATGGATTCAAATTTGGATTTGTCAAGTATATAAAGGTTTAAAATATTAAGAAACTGCAAGAAGATGGCATTGGGGTGTGGTTTGGTTCCTTCAAATTCACGAGTCATTTGTCACTCTTTCCAAAACGAAATCTTAGTCCTTTTGGCTCAACATCAGCCTTATCTCACAAGCATGAGTTTTGCAGTTTCTAGTGGCCCAAGGTTGTTTACATATCTACTTTTTCAAGCTCCCTGTAGCTTTGGTTCGATGTTGAAGAATACTTGGTCTAAAAGGGGCAAAGTCTTATTTATTTCCTAGGATGATCTAAACCTTATCTAGCCAGGTCCTTGTTTTAAGGGAATCCTAAAACATGAGATGATATTTGAGGAGGCGTTAGAGAGGTTTGTTCTTTTTGGTTTCTCTCTCTTTAAACTTTCAAAACTTGGAGGTGACTATATTGTTATTAGCTCTTCTGGTGGTGATGCCCTATAATCGTTTAGGAGTTTGAAGGAAGGCTTCTGGAATCAATATTCCACCATAATTGCTTCTTGGTCACCCTCTTTTTCTCATGCCAAGAAAAAAGTTTGGTTATCTTGTCAATAGATACCTATTCATGCTTTGTCCCTAGAGATTTTCACAAAAATTGGTGGTCGATTTTCAAACTCGGATTTTGTTACAGACAAAAAAGGTTTTTGTGATGCCATGATTGTTAATATGGAATGCCCTTATAATATGATGAAGGAAGCTTTTTTTTTTGGAGAATCTAATGATTTTCTCCATGAAGGGGTAATGCCTCTTTCAGTGGACGATGGTGGAATGAATGTTTTTTATGCTTTGGAGGACAATGTTGGTCTGTGGGTTTCAATTCCTTTACTCAATAGAGAAGTAGTGGTCGTGGAAGAGGAGGTTAATGCGGTTTCTTATCATTCAATAGGTGTTTTAATGCAAGAAGAAACTTTGTCATTCATGGAGGTTGAAGACGAAGGTGACTTGGTCTCTAAAGTATAGGGCACATATCCTTTTGCATGTGGTTAGGATGAGTTGAATTCGTGTAAATAAAGGAATGGTAGTATTGGAAATTCTAACCTAATTGGTCATATCCTTAGGTTAGTTGAAAGGGTGAAAGGTCCTTGTCACCTTGTTTCTTTGTTATCTTTTAGGGAATAAGTACAACTTCAATTTTCCTTGAAAGTCAACATAACTGGTGGAGAGAGAAATTCTGATGTAGAGTAGATTTTTGCACATTATGAGTTTGCTAGCCTGTGATTTTCGACACTACACTGAAACCACTAAGCCTGGTTTGGAAGAGTCTTAGAAATACATCCATAAGATTATATGATCATTCTCTATTCTAAACATGTCCAAAATCTCAAAAAGGTTCCTAGTAAGTTAACATTTTGACATGAATGTGTGATGTAAAGGGGGTAAGCTCGACATGCTTGTCAGGTGTTTTTGGGACATATTATATTCTGAAGTCCATAGATTAGATGATGATGAGGCGTTTCAACACCACACTACAAGATTCAGTAAAAAAAAAGCTCTTCAAAAGCGATAGTTAGAAGTTTTAAAGACAATTTCAAACGCGAACAACATTTTGGAAGAAGTTCAAAGGCGAAAGGCACATGGAAGCACTTCGCCCCTTTGGGCATCATTCTTGACATACTATGTACGTTTTGATCTTATCAAGAGTGGAACATCTTTGACATACAAAACACATAACTAAAATAATCATGCAACCTTGATTGATTTAACTCTGTAGAATGATCAAATAGTTAAAAGAGAAATAATGATAAAAAAATAACAAAATCTACTAAATGCTTTATTTTTATTTTTTTCTGAGGAAAGTTCAAACTCGGAATTTCACTTGAAATATTCTCAAAATCAAATCATTATACTATTAATCAAAGATAACACTTGACTAGATTTTATCATGGATAAATCTCAATGACAGACTTAAGCCCTAAGACTGGAGTTATTTTGTAGTCACTGAAACCAGCAGAGGAAAACAACTTGGCCCATTCTTTTTTTGTTCTCTCTTTACCGGAGGAAAACACCATCATGACCATATCAAATAAGAGTTGTGTTTCAATCGTTTCCTTCTCTTCTTCCATTACCATGTCGATGATAATCACCTTTCCCTCTTTACCATTCTTTACTATTGCATCCTTACAATTTTTTAATATCTTAACGCATTCTTCATCATTCTAATCATGCAATATCCACTACATTAATAAATATTAGAATCATTAAAAAGATGCAGACAATCTTAAAAGGGAACACCTACTTCTTTATTGCAGACACTAGCGCACGACTATGGTTTTAAATTGCGGTTGCGACTAAATGTTGTTGCAGCTATTGTGGTTGCGGCTATTGCAGCTGCTACAATATAGATTGCAGTCGTTGCGGCATAAATTTATTTTTTATCAACATAAAATAATATATTTTAATATTTATATTAGGTTTCAGATGTTTTCCATTTCCTCTCGAAATCTTTTTATATATATATATATATATATATATATATATATATATATATATATATATATATATATATATATATATATATATATATATATATATATATATATATATATATATATATATATATATATATATATATATATATATATATATATATATATATATATATATATATATATATATATATATATATATATATATATATATATATATCATTAACAATTCACATCACTTTGAATATCACTAGTTCTTTCAAAACATATCATTAATCTATGAAATAAATTGAAAGGAAGGTAGAACAAGTAATTTTTTCAAACAATGCGTAATATGTTACAGGTTGATGCGGTCAGATGGGAGTAGATATGGTCGTTTCGATGCTATGATGCGGCTGTTGCGGTATTATAATGCGGTTTCTAGTGTACTTTACAATCATACCACAATTGCGTCCTGATGCGGATGCGATGCTATTGCAACAACAATATTGCGGCCGCATCAAGTGATGTGGTCCGCAATTTAAAACCATGACTAGTAGGGTTGTTCACAGTTCAATTCAGTGAGAAAATTAAACCGAACCAAAACATAATAAAAGTTTACTCGAACTGAACCGAACCGAACCGTTGCAATTTATCCAAAATCGAACTGAACCAAAATAATTGATTCGGGTTACCATTTAAAAATTATGAACCATACCGAACCGTTAGAAGACAATTTTTCTCAAACCGAACCATTAAACTGTTTTCCAATTTTTTTTATAAAAATATTTAAAACTTACTTTTAGTATTTTTTATTTTCAGTTTTTGTTCAGTTCCATTTCAGTTTTGATTTGGTTCATTTATAGTTTCGATTCGGTTTTAAAACCGTTTTATATAATATGGTTTAGTTCACTAACTAAATATAACAGTTCGGTTATTTTAACTTCTGTTTGGTTCAGTTTGACAGTTCGGTTCAGTGGTGTTTTTGAATAGCCCTAATGACTAGGACCACAATAGTGTTTACTGATCAGAATTTAAAACCATGTATTTGAGTATCATATCATCACTAAAAGGCTATTTTATATTTTTTATATTGTGATATAATATTTTACCTTCAACAAAACAACATTAGCTGGAGGAATTTTTTGAAACTATCTCCTCCAACATATTTTAGATTTTCACTTCCTTGCAAGCCATCAACAACATGTGAAAGATCAAATACAATACACTCCAATTGTGGGAATGATTTTGCAAGGGCTCTTCCTATGGTTCCTGTGCCTCCTCCAACATCAACCAATGACTCCAATCCACTTAACACCTCCTTGCCATTCTCAATCAACAGATCGCTCACTAATCGAGAATCATTTGCCATGGACTCATTGAATAAACCATTAATTATCGGTTCATGGGCGACATAATCCCAAAACTGCCTCCCATTTGTCATTTCAAATACTGAAGAATCCTCATTTCTGAACCATGTAGACATTTGATGCCATGGATTTGTCATAATCGGGATGAGCATGATGTGGACAAATGGGGTCACATTCATTGGATTGTCCTTAAGTAGTAATCTAGATGCATCCGTTAACATATATTCAGTTTCTAATTCATTCTCTGTAACATTTTGTTGAGAGAAAAAACCAGAATGAGTCATGATTCGCATCAAGCGATAAATGTAAGGTTTCTTTGAAGGATGGATTGGTAGTGAAGAAATGAGTTTTGAGAGTGGCATGGGTTTTCCATAGTTGTGTATGATATCTGGTATGCCTAAATCAACAACACATTTAAGTGAAATAGATTTGATGAAGTTGAAAACATAATTCGATATGTGGCTATGAGCATTAAGCAAGGTTGAAGAATTGTGAGATTCCATTATGTGTTAGCTGATATTTTAAGCATGGAACCTCTCTTTTTTTGGACCTCTATTTATAAGGCTAGTTGGTCTATAATCAACACTTAATTAGGTATAATATTTTTTGTACTGATTAACTTTTTCTTAAATTTGATCTGACATCATAACTCAACCAATGTGTGAATTGATAAGTACTAATAAAATTATTTTAAACCTATAAATTTAACTAAAAACACTTAATCAATATCACTTGTAATAACTGCTATTTAACATAACTACCTAATTGAGTTTCATGTGGTCAGTTTGTTGGATTTCATGTGGTGGCTGAAAATTAGGTTGTTAAGGTGATTGAAAATGAAATTTTCCAAATTGAGTTTCATGTGGTGGCTAAAAATTAGGTTGTTAAGGTGGCTGAAAATGAAATTTTCCAAATTGAGTTTCATGTGGACAGTTAGTGTAATTTCATTCTGTCTCGTTGAATATTAATTCATGTTTTATAAAAAACTAATCTATAGTAGGTATACAATCTAATGTTTCCTTTCCATTTAAGCAAGATTAAAAACAACTAAAAAAGAACTTTAAAAAAGTTTTACTTCTTATCCATTTTTTAATACCACACCAAATCGGTCGGTCGAATTGAGAATGTCTGGTTTGATTGTTGGACCGAATAAGTTATTGAACCAGTGAAAATCGATCCGAACCGATAAAAACTGATAAAATCGACAAATTGGCAATTCTGAAAAATCGATGGGTTAAATGTCTACTTTTTTCTCAAACAAAATGATGTCGTTTTGATGATTTAAAAAATAAAATAAAATATAAATATTAATAGATTTTTTTTCAAAACTTATTTAAAACAAATTTTCCGAATTAAATTTATTACACAATCCAAATATTTTATTATTTAATTTAGGTTGCATTTAGATTTTGTTTAAAACTTATTTGAATTTGTATTATATATTATTTTGTTATGTACGACGATTATGAATGTTCAATGCTCCCTAGTTGAAAAAACTCTCCCAATAATTTCATTCTAATAAAAAGAACAAATATGGAGTCAGATTTGGCTTTGTCAAGTATATAAAGGTTTAAAATATTAAGAAACTACAAGACGATGGCAATGGGATTTGGTTTGGTTCCTTCAAATTCATGAGTCATCTGCCGGTCTTTCCAAAACGAAATCGTAGTCCTTTTGGCTCAACATCAGCCTTATCTCACAAGCATGATTTTTGCAGTTTCTAGTGGCCCAAGGTTGTTTACAGATCTCCTTTTTCAAGCTCCCTCTAGCTCTAGTTCGATGTTGAAGAATGTTTGGTCTAAAAAGGGCAAAGTTTTATTTATTTTCGAGGATGATCCAAACCTTATCTGGCCAGATCCTTGTTTTGAGGGAATCCTAAAACATGAGATTATATTTAAGGAGGTGTTAGAGAGTTTCATTCTTTTTGGTTTCTCTCTCTGTAAACTTTTAAAACATGGAGGTGATTATATTCTTATTAGCTCTTCTGGTGGCGATGCCCTATAATCGTTTAGGAGTTTGGAGGAAGGCTTCTGGAATCAATGCTCCACCATAATTACTTCTTGGTCACCCTCTTTTTCTCATGCCAAGAAAAAAGTGTGGTTATCTTGTCAAGAGATACATGTTCATTCTTTGACTCTAGAGATTTTCACTAAAATTGGTGGTCTTTTTTGTAGAGTGTTGAAGGTTGGTACCACAGTTATTTCGGTTGTTCATTTCGAAAAAGGAAGAAGTAAGATAGTTGTTGATGCAGGCTCTTCATTAAATCAAAAGGAGGTCCTTTATGTGGAAGTTAACTCTTAATCGGTCTAGGTGGTTGAGGAACCTTCATGTGATAACATTAAAACACTTTTAGCCACTGATATGATCAATAAAGGAGATTATGGATTTGACATTGATGGCCATACCTTAGGTTGATTTTCAAACTCGAATTTTGGTAGAGACAAAAAAAGTTTTTGTGATGCCATGATTGTTAATATGGAATGCTCTTATAATGTGATGAAGCAAGCTTTTTTTTGTTGGAGAATCTAATGATTTTCTCCATGAAGGGGTAATGCCTCTTGCAGTGGACGATGGTGGAATGAATATTTTTTATGATTTGGAGGACAATCTTGGTTTGTGGGTTTCAGTTCCTTTACTCAATAGAGAAGTAGTGGTCGTGGAAGAGGAGGTTAATGCGGTTTGTTATCATTCAATAGGTGTTTTAATGCAAGAAGAAACTTTGTCATTCATGGAGGTTGAAGATGAGGGTGACTTGGTCTCTAAAGTATAGGGCACATATCCTTTTGCATGTGGTTAGGATGAGTTGAATTCGTGCAAATAAAGGAGTGGTAGTGGTGGAATATCTAATCTAAATGGTGATATCCTTAGGTTGGTTGAAAGTGTGAAAGGTCTTTGTCACCTTGTTTCTTTGTTATCTTTTAGGGAAGAAGTACAACTTCAATTTTCCTTGAAAGTCAACACAATTGGTGGAGAGAGAAATTCTGATGTAGGGGAGATTTTGGCACATTATGAGTTTTTAGCCTGTGATTTTTGACACTACAGTGACACCACTAAGCCTGGTTTGGAAGAGTCTTAGGAATACATCCACAAGATTATAATCATTCTATATTCTAAACATGTCCAAAATCTCGAAAAGGTACGTAGTAATTAACATTTTGACATGAATGTGTGATGTAAAGGGGGTAAGTTCGACATGCTTGTAAGGTGTTTTGGGACATAGTATATTTTGAAGTCCATAAGTTAGGTGATGATTGTCGCAACTGCGAAAAACACCAAGTTACAACCAAGTCGCCA